AGAAATTACTCAAATCAAGAAAACACGACAACGTAATGTTATTTTAAATACAAGAAGCTTTCCTTGCTCAAAAAATTGGTTTTAATGTGAAAATAAACAAGCAAACAGAATCTTGCTCCATGTGCAGAAACAACTATAAATTGGTATGAATATGTATTTTAATAATGATAGGAATAAATATTAAGGCCATTTCACATTCAACTTGAATATGGACTAATTTAAATTCTGAATAGGTAAGGAAGAGATATAAAAAAGTTATTTTTGTTTTGGTTTATTTTGTTTTACTTTATTTTATCAAATTACACTCAATAAAGTTTGGGAACTGGAAGCCTTGCAAATCCACATAATATGTTAAGCCCCCATTCTATCCCACTAGAAAAATATAACCATGAATGATAGTAGGAAAAAGTAAGAGTTCAGATCTGATCTTTTAGATGCATTGAATGTGGAACACAATGATATAGTGTGCTTGTTACCATTGGTAGTTCATTATATGTTAAGGAAAAAGGGTAGCAAAGGGAATTAGACATTGAGTTTAATGAATGGGGAACATAAGCCTGTTTGCTTCACCAAGAAGCTATAGCTTCACACCCCAAAGGACCATAGCATTTCTCTGCTGAGGAGATTAACCCTACTCCCTTCCCCACTTCACTACCAATTGCTGAAGGGCACAGTGGGAGGTGCTTGACCAAAAAGACCTGTCAGTCTAAGAGGTAGACCTATCTAAAAGCCCACAAAAAAGTTCATTGGCCAATTTGATAAAGGAACCTGGTCCATCCCAATCCCAAACTAATACAATCTCAGGAGAATAAAGAAACTCAGTCTCTCTCTCTTTCTCTCTCTCCCCTGCACCCCCATCTACTAACACACTCATGCCATACATTCGTACGTTACCTCTCACCTGGGAGCAGGCAACCATGTGGGTTTAGCAGCAACCAGGGCCTGTGGCAGACTGCGTGGGCTCCAAAAGGACTAAGCTTTAATATGGAGCTATAACTCTGAACACTGGCTTTTATTTTGGCTTTGCTAAGGACAAGGTTGAACTTATTCCATGGCAGGACAGATGGAGATGTGAAATTGGAAACCCGGGGGCAGCTTCTTTTTCCACTCGAATAAATTTTGCCACACCGCAATCTCCCACACATTGGTCCTTGGAATGCTTTTCTCATGATCTTGTGGAAAAGCTTCATTTCCACTGACAACACGCTGAGTGGGGAATATCAGCTGGAATATAGGTGACATGTTTTTGGTAGCATCATTTAACCATTGGAACTGCATCTAAGAAAAACAACTGCAGGTAAGTACATTTCAAGTACATAGGGTGTAATTATTTAAAATTCTAAGGGCCACATTATTTTTCTTAGAACCCAGATCCTTGTTAGGGCCTTCAAACACCTTGACATCTTGATAACACTAATTTGAGCCTCTATATCGTGACCTATAAAAATAGGAGCTCCTCCATGCACTAGGATTATGGTGATTTTCTAAAGGGTCTTACATTTAAGCGGGTAGACCTTCAGTATTAGACATCAGCCACTTTCATCTCTGAAGCTTTTAACAATTTTTTAAGGTGAACATTAGCATATGATGAGCCTAGTTATTCCCTGGGGTCTATAAAGCCAAATGGTAAAGCCAAAGATAACATGCCCATCCTTACCTACACGACATACTGTTTTCACTGCTTATCCCACAAATAGAGGTAATTTCACTCTCTAAATGACTGATTGTATTAAAAGGAGCAGTGTCAGAGAAATGCTAACAGTGAAAGTTATGGTCTCCAGGACTTGGTCTCCAATGATAGCCTTCTATTTATAGTTTGTCTCAACCCCTTTCATTACTCTCCTTCATCATCTAATAAACTACTTCTATTGAAATTCATTACAGCAATTTTGTCCACCTGGGGCTTATTTGTAGCTATGTTGTGTGAAAACAAAACAAAACAAAACAAACTTTTTCAATCCACAAGAATTTGTTTCTTGGGGACAACTGCCATTTCTTAAAGGTACTAATTGGGGCTATAGTCCCAATTTTTTTTAAAGAAATGACAGGTTGTAATATTAATACCGCCTGGGAAAATTAAAGCATACATCTTTCTGGTGGTAATAACACAGCCAGTGGTCTTTTAACTGGTTACTTTTAATAACAGAACTTTTTCACCAAAAGTGTAACCCTTAAATATAAAGATAGTAATAGAGGGATAAGTATTTTGGAAACAGTTGGGACCCCAATGCTTTGTACATTTGACACCCATCTTATTCTCTAGAGTTGCTCTACATACTCTAAAGTATAATAACATGTGGAACTCAGTTGGAAAGTAACAAGACTAAACTAAGGAGAACTCAGGAAAATATTTTGAACAAATGCTTATATTTGACAAGAGTCACATATAGATGATCACCATTCATCACTACCATGTCTCCTCTAATTTATATACAGTCCACAGTTGGTCTTTCATATCTCAGAATACTTATGTAGACTTAGAAATGATTTAAGAGAAATTATTGTGGCTGTTTTCATCCTGATTTGGCATTCCCACTCTCCATTGCAGAGTCCAAAGTTGCTTTTATACTACTTTCCTTTGCATCATTAGTCACTACATGCCTTATTGAAAATGAAGAATTCATCTATATATACACTGTCTTCTTTTCAAGTGTCAGGTCTCACACACCTTCCTTGGGAAAAGACCCTATTAAATGGGTGCAACAATGTCATGTATCTCATTTCTTAACTCCTAACAAGTTTTCAGCACTATTACTATCTACCATGGCTTTCTATGACTGAACTGAAAATATCTACCCCCAACACCACTGACTTTTCCCATCCTCATTTAAATTCAAATCTTAGCTTTCATTCTGTGAGCATCTGGGTTTGACTCCACTGTCATTTCCATTCCCCAACCAGGAGATTATATGTGTATCAAGGCTCTGAATCTTTGATGGAAGCCAGACCTGCAAGGTCATAGTACTGGGTTCACCCAATCCTGGTTTTAATCACACAGCATCCCAACCCCTGAAATGTAGATGGGCTAAGACATTCCAGATCAGGAGCTTAGGGAAGACAATCAATGTATCTTTGAAATAGATAATTATCTCCTAACCTGCAGATGATGGAAGATGTGATTCATCAGGGGCTGGAACACTGTGGGGATGTTGCACAGGCAAAATGACATTGCTAAAAGAAGGATGAGATGTATTTGACTTGGCAATAAATTTTCCATTCATTGCTCTTTTGAAGTCCTGGAAATTCATTTCTTGTAAACATCTGACACCATCTCAGACTTTTACAATAATCAGGATACACACAGAGCTTTAGCTTCAAATGAGAGATAAGTGTCTGCCGAGCAATATCACACTGCAAGTGTTTTGGATGAATTTCCTGCATCTCAAGCCTGTGGCTCTCAGACAGAGTTTGTTCTTTTAATGAATTCCAGTCCCAACATAAGATCACAGTCACAGTGTCTTAGTATAATCAGTATAATGATGCAATTCTTCTTATGTTTGCTCTATAAACATCATGGCAGGCCTTGTACTTGAATGACATGCAAACTACTTAAGGGGTAAGCTAGATGGATTACAAGGCCAACCAATGACCAAAGTTTGGCAAAGTTGGCCAACATAAATTTTTCTACCCAAAATAAAATTCTCCAGTTTAAAGACCAAGCCAGGCATCTTCAATGTCATCACTTTCTGTGTGATACTCTCCATGGACTCCCAGTGTTGGAGTAATAGGCACATGCACACTAATTATGGGGCATGAAGATATAAATAACCGGGTTCTCTAGTTTGATGTAAGTTTACCTGTTTTGTTAGTCTTTTATCTATAGGATATAAAAGAAAGCCCAAATGTCACAGCAATGGGTAGTCAAAATAGACCTCAAGAGAGAGAATGAAGCTTAGATAGCACTTTTCCCTTGTCTGGAGTAGGGATGGAGGGACCCTTCCTCATACAACTGTGAGCCTAATTCTCTGCTATGGGAAAGGTCTCAGACTAAAAACATGTAACTGGGTTGATTGACCAGCCCTTTGTATTCATCAGATTATTGATCCAAAAAGACCACCTTGTTAAGATGATGGTGAGTTCATGGCAAAGGGATAATTTTGAAATTGCTTTCCAAATGATAATATTTTTAAGTACAGTCCAATAGCTTAGAGTTAAACGTAAAATTTCTTTAACTGATATATCCCTTTGAAGGAGGCAGTAGGTAGATAAACTGGCACACTTCACTCTTGTTCAGTGTCTTAAATTCTCACAGTTCTCCTAGAAGCTCAGGAGAGTGAGCATTCTCCAAGAATCAATGGAATTCATATGCATACAGCCTTCCTTAATCAATATATCAAGCAGAAAACCAAAATGCCATGTACTAGTGGCACCCAAGAATCACAAGGTGGACATAAAAACATAAACTGGAAAAGTAGAAGCATATATATTTGTTTCATGAATAAATGATGTTAGATGAGATCACTGGCCAGCAGTTTGAATCTCTGAAGGCTGAACTGTAAGATGAGGGGCATTAAATCTGCCTTTGCCTCCAAAACCTGGCAAAGCCAAAGTCCAATGAAGGTGGTGATAGAGTCATGGGTCCAGAGGAATGCATACAGAAAATCAAGAAAGCAAGTTTAATGTAATTCAATTTATAAAGACCAGTTCAGAACATATTCCAGAAATTCAATATATATGCCGATGATACCTACCATGGCTATCTTAAGGAACACTATTAAGCTAAATAGATGTTTAGTAAATGTTGGCTGACCCTATGATTTTGCCAATATTTGACTTTTTCAGTGAATTATTTTTAAGTAATTTCATAGTGTACAATTCTAAAACTTGAATCAAGGTCCTTCTTTGTTGCTTAATGAACTGTTCTAGGGAGAGGCATCACAGAAAGAGGTATTCATAATCTGCACTTAAGAGAAATACCTTAGTAGGAATAATTTTTGATTGTTAATAATTTGTCATCAGATCCCTATGATCACTACCTCCATTTAAAAATGAGAAAACATTGCAGATGATGTGAGAAAATATTTGCTATCTGAGTGGTGGTGCAGACCTCCCTGACCACCAACATTGCTGATGTATGAGAAATAAATAAGTTAATAAATAAAATTAAATTAAAATTAAAATGAGAAAACACCAGGGAGAAGGCGGGGGTGTGAGTGGGTTGGGCTTCCGTCGACACTTCTATTGTTGTTTCCCTAAGGGAGAGCCACTCTGCTTGTTCAAGGTGTGAGCCACACCATACCATCACCACCTGGTATAGGACCAGTTTGAAGACATCATCTTCTCCTATGCTTTGCTGATTTTCCACATATAATGCCACACAATACAGCAGCCATTCATATCATGTTTACTCTTCTGGGACCGATATCTGCCTCTGACAAAGATGTTTCTGAGAACCATGTATTCTCTTTCACCTTTGTTTTAAGTCAAGCCAGCGGGACCCTCTTCCTTCCTGATTGGGCGTCCTCGATTCTGTGCCACAAATAAGAGAAAGCCATTGTTGCCTTACCATGGTTGTCTTCATACCATTGTATATTTTTTCCCATGGAAGTCATCACTGTTACCTTAAGGTATATTTACACAGCAAAGATGGGCAGAGAAGCAACTCAGAAAATTTAGAACTTACACAGGTTGAATGTTCAAGGTAACACAGTTGGACTAATAACAGCCAGAACAATATCCAGATTCTTGAATCCCTTAATGGCTGTTTCCATTCCATTAACCTCCTTAGACATTTCAAGAACACTTAAAATATTCCTATGTGTGTAATAGAAGATTTCACCAATGATTCTGTCCTATTCCCTGGCCCTCTCTGTTCAAGTTTCATTTTTTCAATGTGTTAATAAATCAGGATACTTCTCCATTTCCTAGTAAAGCTTTATTTTTTTTTTCATTGTTCTTGATCTGTGTGCTAGAACAGGTTTGTACATGCTCACAACAGTCCATCATGCACATGCTTTCCCAACTTGAAGAAAATGTTGATTTTAGCCATGGTAGAAGTGTTTGAAATTAAAACTGGCAAAGGCTACAAATCAGGGTTTGGAAAGTTTTGTCTTAAATTTTATTTCCTTTTTTTAATGTTTTATTGTCCTTGCTATTATAGTCATCCCAATTTTTCTCCCTTCTCCACCCTCTACCCATCCTGCCTCTCACTTCCATAGTCAATCCTCACACTGTTGTCTGTGTTCATGGGTTCTTCACATATGTTCTTTAACTAATTCCTTCACTTTCATTTCATCAGTCTCTACCTTCCCCTTCCTCTTTTACAGCAGTCAGTTTATTCCATGATTCTATGCCTCTGGTTCTATTTTGCTCATTAGTTTATTTCATTAATTAGATTCTACTTATAAGTGAGATCATATAGTATTTGCATTCCACCAACTGGCTTACTTCATTTAGCATAATGGTCGCCAGTTCCGTCCATGCTGTTGCAAAAGGTAAAAATTCCTTCTTTTTTTCTGCTGCATTGTATTTCATTGTGTAAATGTGCCACAGTTTTTAATCTACTCAATTACTGATGAACACTTAGGCTGCTTCCAACTCGTGGCTATTGTAAATAGCACTGCTATGAACATAGGGATGCGTAAGTTTTTTTGACTTGGTGTTTTGGGATTCTTAGGGTATATTTCCAGCAGTGAAATCATTGGGTCAAAAGGCAGCTTCATTTTTAATTTTTTGAGGTAATTCCATACTGTTTTCCACAATGACTGCACCAGTCTGCATTCCCACTAACAGTGCACTAGGGTTTCCTTTTCTCCACATTCTCACCAGCATTTCTTGTTTGTTGATTTATTAATGAGAGCCATTTTGGCAGGTATGAGGTGATATCTCATTGTGGTTTTAATTTGCATCTCTCTGATGGCTACTGATGCTGAGCAGTTTTTAATATGTCTATGCACCACCTGTAATTTTCTTAATAATGGTTTTATTAAGACATAATTTGTGGGCAGCCAATTGTTAACCTTTTTATCTATCATTACAAACTTCTTTCATATATTTGAAAAAAAAAAAAAGCAAGCTTCCTTGTCCCAGATGACTTTGCTGAGAGCTTAGAATAAAGTTCTACCTTGTGATAGCTTCAACAATGTAATTATTTAAATCAAAGTGAAACAGTTTACTTGGAGTATCTTCTCTAGGTTTACACCTGTTAATACTCCAATAAAAAGAGCTACCAGGAGTGTTGCCTGCATTTATTATTCATATTTCCCTGTTACTACTGAGAAAAATAAGGCTATTAGAGACCCTCTAACTCCAACCTGTCTATCAAATAAATGTAATCATTTGAGTGAGCTCTGATGAAACCAACAAAAGAACTACTCTGCAGCCCATGTAATCTTGACAAGTAATAGATCCTTGTTTTAAAGCACCAAATTTTGGAGCGGTTCATCCATATAATATCTGAATGCCTGATAAATCTCTCCACTCCACCGATTTACAACCAGATTATGAACAACTCCCTGAATGCTTTCTTTGGCTTTTGGGTATCTCACATTTTTATGGACTCACCTTTGGGAAAATTCAGTCATAGGAAGAAGGAGGAAAATTTTTAAAAAATACATGATAGAGCCCACAATATATAATGAAGGGAAGTCCAATGTCAAAAAGCCAACTGAGTAAACAGGGAAGCTTTAAAAATAAACACATACAACTATAACTGGGTAGAAATCCCTGAATGAATTCTGAAATATTCCTAAAGATAAAGCAGCCTCCAGAGATCAGACTAGAAGGAGTATACCTCCCAACCCTCTTTTGCTGTTGAGCCACTACAGTTGTCAATAAAGATCTCTCTCTCTGACCTTTTCTGTGCCTTTCCTGAGAGCCTTGAAATACCCAAGAGTTGCCATATGCCTTCAAAGAAAATCTGTTTCACAATAACCTGCAGAACTAAGCCTTCAAAGAAGATAGAATCCAAAACAAGAGAATTAAGTAGTAGAAATAGGAGATGCCTCCTGGAACCATGTAAAAAGGCATCTATCTCCTGGATGCCTGCTTATTGGTACGTTGCTTCATGCACAGAATAAATAACAATATTGTACACACTGGACAGACATTCCAGAAAAGGATACCCTGCCAGCAAGTATTCCCACAGTAACCACCTACACTTGAATCTGCACTTGTGTGGGTACACCTCAAGATTTAGCATCTGTCCTTCTCAACCATTTAGTTGTAGAGTACTATTTACTCTGACAGCATGCTCTAATTGAAGACATTGGCATTGAATTAAAAGTATGAAGGACCAACAAATCCCCTTCAGTACTGAACAAATCTTTAATGGTAGAAAAGCAACAAACCCAGAATTTATAATTCTGATCACATGCTACTTTCTGGAGGATTATACATTATTAAAACTTATTGAAAAAACACAGTTGGGTTTTCCCTACTTCACTTAGCCTGTTTTCTCTTTGCACTTCTTTTAGAAGAGCTTATAAAATAGGCCTGAGCAGGTTCTCATTAGCTGTGGTCAGTTTTAATTTCTGGTTCTCATGCACAAAGCTGATGTGTGTAGGTTCCCATCATGGAAATAAAATGACACAAAACCATTTTTGCCATTGCTTAATTAAAACAAAAAATGCAACCTGCAATTTACACAGCAAAATTTAAGACAATCATTTACATCATGTGGAAAAATTTCTTCATTACATAGTACTTTGTCCTCAGAGAGCATTTGCCAACATCCTACAAAAATTCTCATGTAACAAGAAAGGTGGTGCAATATTTTAGACATTTTTTCCCTCTATCCCAACCAAAATTGGAATATGGCCTGTTTCAACTTCTGTGGTAAAAACATAGAAAAGACAAGCTTCTCAGTATTCAGATTCCAGAGTTCATGCCCTTTACTCACAGCTAACAGCTGACCATCATATATATCATAAATTGAGAAAGTATGGTACCTACACCCCATTTTGCTGGTCAGCACTACATAGAAGCAAGTTGAAATGCAATCTTGCTCATATCTGAATTAATCAAAACTCTTTCAGTTTCAAGAAACAGAAGCCTAACTCAGCCTGGCTTTTAAAGTGGTAGAGGGGAAATTGGCTCATGTAGCTGAAAGGCCATGGGGTAAATCAGAGTTTCAGGTATGGCTGCATCCATCAAGAAAAGTTTTATCTCCATTTCTCAACGCTGTTTTCTTCAGTGCTGGCTTTGCTCTCAAAAGGATTCTCCTCATGTTATAGAAAAGATAAGGAACAATTTAGTGCCGGCTTACATTTCATACACTAAGGAATCTCAATGGCAAGAAAGTCCTTCTCATTTAATGATTCCAGGAAAATGCTTAGGTCTGTCACTGGTCTGGCTTGGGTCAGGTTTGCATCTATAACCAGTCATTACGGCCAGGGGTAGGATGCTCTGATGTGACAGGCATTGGTTTTGTCTTAGTTCTGGTTCCCCCAGAAGTAGATTGTGAGCCAAAGATTTCAGTGAAAATAGTTTATTGGATGTTGCAAGGAACATAGGTGGGTGACAGGGAAGTCAGCCAATACAGCAGTGTTACATCAGATACCAGTGAGGGATCATAGCTTCATATTGTAGGAACAGTCCCTTGAAAAACAAATACATATGAATTACCCTGGTCAAGGAGTGAGGTACTTGGGGCATATTTGGGATATTTATACCTTTGTGTCCACTAGTTATTAGGTAAGGGCTGCCTCCAGGAGACTTTTTCCCCCAGGAACTTCCCACCTGCCTTGTGCATGGGCAAAGTTGGTTTCATTGACATGAAAGCAGTCCTCCAACAATCATGCTTTTGCTCATTGTTGGAAGTTAGAATTATAGGCATAGAAATGGAGAGGAGATCTAAAAGGATATGGGTAGACCACCAACAGAGTCTGCTATAGGTTCTGCCCCACCCCTTGTTGAGGGGATGCAGAAATTAGTGTGCGAGCCCCACCCAAACCACATCTAATGAGAGTGGAGGAGAGTTGGTGCTCACCAGGAAAAAACAGAGTGTTGTTCCCAAAGGAAAAAGGGGAATGTCCTTTGATAGGCAAAAATAAGAGATGTTCACTCAATTAACTAAACCTTGAATTGTGCTCTCTCAATGTAAATCTGGCAATATAGAGGCTGGTACCATGTGTTA